CTATTTTGCCTTCTGCTTATCATTACTGAAGGTTCCAACATTGCCATTAAGAATCCGTGGCTTCCCAAAGACTGTTGGGCGAGTTTGATCCCAAGCTCAGTGAAGTCGATGGAAAGATTCTGCCTTTTTAAGAATCTCCTGTCCAATTTTCGTTTTTAATTATCGTTAAAAGCAAAACGCAACAGAATAAATAGTAGAGCCAGAAATTATTTGTCAGTCCTCTGTGTCAGGGTCGAACCATTAGATATGTTAGTGTGGGACATGATGTTCCTTGAATGAGCTCACTGAATGCAGTGGATACAAAGGCAGGCATCAGGTGCATTTTTGGGATGTCCCATACGCTGACTCCCTTGCTGGCTGGAGACACCTCAGAAGGAGCCCAGCCAGTCCCGAACAGAAACCATGTCCTGGTTCAGTGTGTTCAGATGCAGATAAAAAAGGGCTTTGCTTTCACCATCCAGTGCCTGCTGAACTGTTCAGTGCTCTGATAGTCTGCTGCTTCTCCTCTCCGGCTTTTCCCCCTTGGGGGATATTTTGTGAAGGTTGGTTTGACTGGCAGCTGAGAAATGCCACGGTAGAGTGAGGAGCAAGTCAGCCCACCGTGGATGTATTCAGCAGCACCTTATTGAGAAAGTGGAGTCCTGGAAGTCTACAGCATGCAACCAGAATGGGGTTTTTGGTGTATTTACATTTAGAGCTGTGCCTCTGGGGTTCTAGCTACTCCTTCATCCCAGAGGTACGCCTTCTGAACAGTGGGATTCATCCCCTGTAACTTCAGGTACATAAACCAAAAATGTCTACGTGACAAGGAGAAATATTCCATCACCTGTGCAGGGAGAGGAGGGGGACCAGCTGTGTACAGTGAAGGTTTTAATACTCCTTCTGATTGTCCTTCCTCTTCATGTAGCCAGCATGAAGTTAGGAAGCGATGGGAGCTCAGCACTTTGCACTACGATCTTCGTGTCGTTTTCACAAGTACTCTCAGGCCACTGACAGAAATGCTGCCCGTGAGTTCTTTGCAAACCATCAACTCGGAGCTGAACTTCAGCAGGACAATTCTGGCCAGGAGGTTCTCCTCTAAACACCGGCAGACACTTCAATGCTGTTTATCTCTGGTAAGACTGGGGTGATTTTAATGCACTCCAAAGGATTTCCTAGCTTTTTTGGGAGTGTTAAAGTTGTATGTTGAAGCTGGGCAGATCTAAGCAGGGATCAGAGGTGGGAGCATTTGCTGTAGCTTGATGGTCGGGGATTTACTCTAGCCTCTGTGATACGATATTTGAGAATTGGGCACCTTGTATTTCTCAGTTCTTTAACTTGTAAAGTCGGAAGCAGCCTTTTCCTTTCAGTTAAGTGCTTTGACTTTTACAAGTGAGAAATGTTAAACAAATAGATTGAAACCACTGCAGTCATGGGAATATATTCTTTAACTTCAGGGAGATTTGGCTTATGGCCCGTATCATATTGTATTGTGCCGGCTCAATTAGGAAAAGAATAATGAATTAAAAGGTCATAGCTCTTTAAATTAAAATGTGGGTAAAAGGGCAAAATGTGTGTGAGGGGCTTCCTCCTCCACTGCCCTGGGCATTTACCATTAACTATCAATGGGAACGCTCCATCCAACAAGTTCCCTAATCTCCTTTTAATCTCATTGAGTCCTGAACGTTTTCTGGAAAACGTTTTTCAGAACTAATCTGCCCGGGCAGGGCGGGGAAAATGTTAAAACACACAAAAATCTGCGCAACAGGAAATAATGTTAGAAAGCTGTGAAAATCATTTATCCTTTTGAAGCGTAATGGTTTTTAATTTTCTCATGCCCTGATCTCCCTGGCAACAATTTAAAAGTGCATAAGCATTCATGAATCAAAGCCGTGCACGTCTGCATTTTTAATTATGTGTCATTGGATTGAAACTTTCCCTTTGATCTTTGCATTTAAAGGGATTTACAATTTAATGATTACAATCCCCCTCCCCCCCAAGTCTGTGCTCGTTATTGAGCAATGTCACCACGGGGTCCCCTGTTGGACAGGGGGACGACAGTTTGGTTTGGGATGCCAGAAGCACGTCTGAAACCTGCCTTATGCTCTGGCTCCTGGCAAAGAGCTGCGTGCGGTGGGGCTTCCCGGCGATGGTGACTCTAGGACTTTTGCTCTAGGCAAGATGTTTAAAAACAAAGTGGGATAAAAGAGAGCAAAAATAACCTGGTTGCCCACTAAGCAGTCCGGTGCTCGAGGGAGCTGCCTCTCTTGCCTGGTGTAATGACTCGGGAGCCATGTGGGCACTGCGATTAATGGTGCAAGTACAGCTTCGGTGGCGGTAAGGTGTGGGGAGCACTTCTTGCCAGGAGAAACGCAGCCAACGGGAGCACCTCAATGCTGACGTGGGCTGGGGAGAGCACGGCTGTGTCGCTGTGCCCCTTGGAGATCCCAGGAGGTGGCTTGCAGCAGGGCAGCCAGCAAGCCCGGTGGTCGTGGTCGGAGCGCAGGGTGCCCTGGGGCGACTCGGGTTGAGCCCTGGGGGACGCTTGGTGGGTCTGGAGAAGGTTTGGGGCTGGGGGCTTCACTGTGGGACTTGGGGCTGTGGAGAATCTTAGAATCATAGGATATCCTGAGTTGGAAGGGACACGTAAGGGTCATCGAGTCCAACTCCTGAAACAAGGGCTGAAATCCGTGAACAGCTCGTAGACGCTACATCTATGAATTAAACGTGTGGCTAAAAGGAGTGGGTGGCACTGGTGAAAGTGCTCGGCTTTGCTGTTCGTGAGGCTCAGAAATGCCCCCTGCATCCCGTGCATGTGCAGCACGTTACCCGCTCAGCACAGAAGCAGTGTTAGAAGATGTCAACAGTTTCCCATTAGGTCTGCGTGCGCGTGTGGCTTGATGCGATGCGCTGCACATACCAGGTGCTCTCTAATGAATTGTTCTTTCAAAGCTTTCTGCGAGATATTTAATTTTCTTGCTGAATAACAGTTTAAAGGTCATGTGGATCGGTGACACGTGCAAAATGAATGCGTGTTACTTTTGATGTGCCCGTGCAAAATCAAGGCCTTGCACAGCCTGCTTTATATGCACAATGTTATTGTATTTTCTTGTAAAAAAAATCAATAAAAAAGTATTAAAGTAAAAATCCTGAGCAGAATATTTTATGTCTTATTAAGCTACTTACAAGTTGAGCTAGATAGCAAGGGTCCTATTAATCAATGCTTTAAGTTGACTCCATGGTGAGTTGATGAGTTGAAAAATTTGTTAAGATCCCTTTTTTGCCTCTCTTTAGAGGGTCTTAATGTGGTAGATTTTGTCAAGTGAGCATACGTTTGTGCCATTAGCAATGAGTTAACATTGCATGATTTCACATTAGAAACATCATTTATTGAGCCTATACTTAAAAAAAGAAAAGCTGCTGTTTTCACTGAAATGTGTTCTGATGATCCAATTTTACAATCATTTTCTCCGATGAAAAAATTCATGGTTACACTATTGACAGCTGCTGCTAAATTGCTCCAGATGGGATTACACTGGAGGTAGACCACTCATCCACAGAAAGGCTGGGGGAAAACATCCGAACAGTTTTAGCCACGATACTCAGGAAATAGTTGTGCTTTTTAGAACACAAGCACCATTTATATCCTACACAAATGCCGTAGATCAAGGATAAGTATGAATAAGGCTTTGGGAACCAGCAGTGCTATAAGGAGGTAAGATAGGAGGAGGCAGAGAACTTGTACAAAAGGAGAATGCTCGGGGCAGAGTCCTGCCTGTGGTGTTTTGTTCTGTGTTGTTTTGGGTTTTGTCTGGAGAGGTGCAGAAGGTAGGGGAGAGTAGCAGGAGCAGCAGCTGGTTTTCGAAGCAGCAGCAATCTACAGAATGTTTCTGCTCATAAGATAATTAGTGCCACAGTGTAATTAGAGGGGAAAGAACGAAAGGAAGATAAGTTTTGCTGAGAGCTTCAGTTCAATTTACAAGGAAGTCTAGGTAACCAGCTAAATATAATGCACTCCTCTTAAAACATTACAAGTTGGTATTAGACTTTAGAGAACACACACCACTGGTTTGTAGGGGTAGGAACAACGGCTTGGAGACATACACCCATAGCTTTTAAAGTCTTTAGACTGAACTTCCTTTACTTGAAACACGTACTGTTTAAATACTTTAAGGTTCTCCTAGTGAAGTTCAGCTTATTTCTGGGTTGTGGGCAGGCTGCTGAAGGCTTTGGCCAGGTGGTGCCCTGGGATGGTTTGCCCCTTGTGGTCCTGTCCCCGCTCTGAACCCTGCCACCAGTGCTGCGGCTGGCACAGGATTGCGATTCTGCAGCATGGTGGCAGCTTGGGTCTCAGAGCTGAGCTCAGCTCATTTTCTAGCTTCAGGCCTTAATGTCACATGGGAAGGGTAAAGAGAACTGTGGCAGTGTGAGTCCAGTATATGCAGGGATTCAGAAAAGGTGGATCTTCTTTTAGAGGCTGGGAAAAGTGCTTTGGACACGGCTGATTTGCTCATTCCTTGCAGTCACCTGCAGTCCCTCATTCCAGCTGCCTTCTGTGGCCCACAGGAGGTGCATTGGTTGGAAAATCTCACTCGATTTCATTAGTGGTATCAATAGATGGATTAAGAAAGCAATGGACTTGGTGCCCTGATTTTCCTCTTGCCTGCAGAAGTGGTTCTTAGTGCAGCTGATACAAGGTGCCGTCACTGCTGTTCTGCATGTTGTGGAGTACTTGCTGGGCTGGCAAGCCAGCAGCCTTCCCCAGGCAACAGCCCCTTTCTCATCCCTGAGTTCACATGCAAGCATTAACAAGCCAACAACAATTATACCAGGCAAAAGCGTAGCTGAGAAAAGCATCAGGCATTCTGGCATCCTCAAAACCAGCATGGCTGCGCTTGAAAACCCAACTGCACTGAAGCTTCCACAAGCTGTTGCCAGATTGTTTGTAAATAAGTTTCTAACATTGTCTGCTCCAAGTTGCTTTGACCTTTGCTATCATAGAATGACATCTCCTTTTCCAGGCTGAAGACGTGAAGTGTGCCACGAGAAAGCTCAAAGGTGACATACCTCGGGGTTGAAGCATCCCATGAGCGTGGTTGTGCTGAATCCCTTCCTGCCAGGATTCCTCCAAAACTCCCAGGGACTCCAGGTAAGTTGTGATCAAACAGCAGTTATTAGTGGCTCTGTAATACTTTTGTTTCCTCTGTTGCCCTTCAGAGCTTCCCTGTTTAATGCCTTCTCTTTGCCTGTTTTTATATTCTTTCCATAATGTTTTGAACTATGGGGGTCATTCAGTATCTCATTTTTCACATGGCTCCTATTAGAAAGTTCTCTGTTCTTGATAGGAATATGAAGAATGATTAAAACTGGCTAAAAACAAGTCAATTCCAATAAAAAATAACAATGAAGCAATGCACATATTAAAATTAGACATATAAATTATTCAGCAAATGATCTTAAATAATAAACACATTTGGGGAAAATATGAAATTGATGTAGTCTTTCCAAAAAGGAAAAACACGACACTAATTGAAAAAAATTGCTCAGCTCAGGATTGCATTTGTTTCTCTTAACGGTTTTTGTGGCTGGAATGGCAGCACAGCAGAGCATCAGCCATAAACCATCAGCGAGGATCCCAGGGTCCTCTGCTACACAGACAAATGACAGAGCCCACTGGTGCCAACAGAAAGTGGGATTCGGATGCAGTGGGGGATCTGCTGTACACCACCACAGACATGGCACGTGGTGGGACAGTGAGTGTAGCTTTCAGCTGGGGGGAAGGAAGAGCAACCTCCCCCTCTCCCTGAGTGCTGTATGTCTGAGTTTGTGGTCATGTTTTCTTCTTTGCCTGGGTTAGATGGATTAAGAACAATTACTCAGACTCGTGAGTGCCAGCAAGCTAGTTGGGAGGAATAGCTTGGGGTGCCTGATGTATGGAAACCCCAGACATGTCCCCTGCACAAATAAACCCTACAAAATGTGCAGTGAATTCAGTGCAACACAATCCCACTCAGCATGTACCGGTTTGTGAAGTCCTGATCACAAATTCCCCTTCCTTTCATTGTAGCCCCGTGGCAAGAATAAAGGCAGTGGGCTCAGTGGGCTCAGCCGCTGGTGGCATTCGGCCTTGGTCCTACAGTGGGTTTGGCAGGGGGGCATTACACTGTGCTCACAGCAGCGTGTGTGCAGACATCTTACCCTCCAGATTTCTGAGCAACGCAGCAGACACTTGAGACCTCTGTGGAGAGTGTTCAGGTCTCGTCTTACCTAAGGTTTCCAGCAGTGGAAGTCAAACATCTCACTCCAGCCTTGGGTGATGACTTAGATTGATGAAAGAAAATTAAAACTTTCAACTCCCTGCCCTAGAGGGAGAATATAATGATCGAGACCAATCCCACTTACCACTTCAAAATTATTGTTATCTTTTTTAAAGAAAGTCAGTGATTTATGAGATATTTAGTGGGCAAAAACCTCTGCAAACACTGGGCTGGCTAGGTTCTAAATGATCTGTACACAACCTGGGATTTTTCTGGCAATTCATATGCTGTCTATCCGTGACTAGTGCTTCTTTCTCCAAGTTGCAGGGTGTACAGAAATAAAAATGATTTGTTGTGCTTGGGTATAGCTTAGGCAGTGGTAATTACTGCATGGTAAGGTACTCCACTTAATCAATGGGCTGATGCACAATTCATTTGAGATTTTCTCATTTGCTCCAATATAAAGGAGAGAAAACAGAAACAGAGGTAACCAAACTGGCCACAAGGAAAAACATTCAAATTCATTACTGTGAACTCTCTGCACTACAAGCTGTACAAATGCGGAAATACAGAAAATACAGGGGGGAAAAAAAAGGAAGAAGACAAAAAATAAATAAATATGACAGTCCCTGGCCTGGCAATCCTTTAGTACAGACAGAAAAACAAGGACCATGAGGAAGACAGAGAGAGACAAGGAGTTCAGAGAAACAGTGCAACATTAAAATCATCATAGTAGGCTTACTGACTTAACAAGCCTTATTGAGAGACAAACCGATTCACTGTAGAACAAGCAAGACATCACAATTTGCAAAGCTAAAGCACTTTCTGGAGAAAGTAGTAGGTGGGTTAGTGCCTAACTGCAAGTGTGACTTGGTGGGTTTTCCTTTGTGCTTTGAGAGGCTGTATGGATAGTCAGGGCTGTGCCACGGCCTCAAGTTTTTTAGCTGCATCATGTGAAAAAGGCTTTCCCGTAGGGATGGTGAGCCAAATTTGACAGAGGCAGAGGGAGGCACTTGGAAAAGTGAGGCAATTTGGCCAGACTTAGGACTACGTTCACCATTGCTACCCCACTGGTCTGGGTTTGGTAGCATTTACCCTTTGCTCATTCTTCCAGACTGCGTGTTCCCAACTGCTGCTGTCAGCATCCGTCAGGTCATGACCTTGGCTGCAAGCCAGAGGTGCTCAGGCTGTGCCCGTCGAGTTACCAGGTTCCTCACCTATGTAAGTGCTCTCTCGTAAGGTTATAAGCAGCCTTGTTTGTAGGAACACGTGGAGGTAGATTTCGTATTCCACATATGTGGGAACGAACACAAGCCATGAAGCATATGCGTTGCTTTTGGAAATGCAGGGAAGGGAGGCACAGAAGGCTGCTGTATTTTTGGCTCTTCAGAAAATCAGACTGCTGCTTAGCAAATCTGGATCTTCAAAACAAGAAGTCCTGGTGGGAGCTGTGGCTCTGCAGGAGTTTGATCAGCCCCCAGTACAACTACTCAAAGCTTTTTTTGTGACACGAGTGAAAGCAGTGAGCCCTGCTCATCTTCAAGTGGGTCAATACAGAACTTTTTTGCAAAATGCTGTATGCTTTGTAAATGGAGGTTAGGTTAGTCACATAGGAGCTGTATGTATGAGCTGTATATAAAGGTGTGTTATATATCCTAACCTTGTAATGCTGATGGACAAGATTCTGCAAATGCTAAATTAATCTGTTTTCTTTTGTGGTTATCCAAGTGAAATTTAACGCAGTTGTAGCTGGAAGTTGTGAAGACTCAGGTTATATCCCAATAGTCATGTAGGAGTACAGTCAAAAGCTATAAAATAACTAGGTTGGTAGGAAGAAATGCACTTTATCAGATTGATACTGCTGGAAAAAAAAAATAATCAGGCTCCAAGATGGGCATTTCTAGCACCAGTTTGGTTTGGTGTCATACCGACAGAGCTTGAGTGCCGAGTGAGTTCATGCAGAAGATGGGGAAGCAGAGTCCCCTCCTTTTGCCTCTCACTGTCGAATACCTCCCAGTGTGGAAGTAACCAAAATGCAATGCTGTCAGGCCAGGACTTTGCTTTTTGGGAACCATAAGATGAAGTGTATTGGAGTGCAGGCTGTGCCCTAGCTGGCAACTTGTATGTGCTCAGTGTGCAGCCGTGTTGCATAGAAAATAACCAGATCTGCATCATTGTTGTATGAAAGGTCAAACTCGAGCTGACAGGACTTTTCTGGGAGTTTGCCTCTCTGTGCAAAGCCCATGATGGCATTATGGCTCATCACAGGGGTACTCAAGCTACAGCAATGTGATTGTCTCCATGTCTGGGCGGATAACTCCATGCACAGATGCATGCTCAGTGCACCAACTGTGAAAATGAGAGATCCCTCTGAGGCTTTCAGGGACACGGGTACAACTTCCCAGCAATGTGCCTGTGAACCAGGAAAGTTCAGCTCGCAGCACACGCAGGGGAAATTGTGCGGAAGTTTAGGAATTCTTCTGCCCTTTGTTTTTCCTGTGAAATGTCTCCCTTTGGGACCTCACCACATGTTGCAGGTATCTAACCATAGGTACTCGGAGTTATTAACCTGCATGTCATAAGCACTAAACAACAGCTGTATAGCACAGCACAACATAAATACAACTGGGCTTGTAAAAACATTCGGGTTTTAGGTCATAAGACCCTATGCTTTCTTTTTCCTGACTGCCCCGTTTTTGAGGTGTGTTCGCAAGGAGACAAGACTAGCACCTCATCAGTGATTCACTCCCTAATGAAATGGAAACTGGCGTCAAGAAAGGAGAAAAAAATACTAGGGGAAAAAAGGCAAGATGAATGCCTTTCTTTCTGAAAAGCATGCAGTGAAACAATGGGACTAAATGAGATACATTCCTGACAAAGATCTTTTCTGTTCTCTAAAGGCTTTTATTGTACCTAGAGTTATGTTTTATCTTAAAAAAGTGGTGTTCTTTATTTTATGTGAGCTTTCTCCCCCTCACCCTCTTTTCTACTTGCTGAGATTTAAGTAAGCTCTTGTAGTGCTGTATCTCTGATCAGGCTTAAAGATTTGGAAAGCCCTGAGTTTGCCAGGATAAAAAAGGCCTTAGTATCTAGACACTGATAGATCTGATTCATCACCTCGGGAGGACATTACCACACAGCCTGTGCCACAGATTGTCTTGATAACAAGCTCTGGATTTTTCTTGGCATGCACCTTCATTTAAAGGTCAAAGCTCTTCCGAAGAAAGAGGAATTGCTGGGTGAGAAAAAAAAAAAGTGCTCACATTATCTCGACAAAGCCACACTTGACTGAGGCCAGGGGATTTCAAGGGAGATCGGTGGGCCTGATTCTAGCTGCATGAGAGGTGCTTTCGAGCTGCCCTGAGCACCACAGGGGAAGCAGAGCAGGAGCACGGCACGGCAGGGCAGTCTGTGTCCTGGGCTGGAGCAGGAGGACTCCTCTCCTGCTCCTTCCCCACCTGGGAACAAATGGCAGAACAGGGACATGTCTTGCAGTCCCTGCAGGACCCTGGCCTTATGCACAATGAGAGGAAGACACCCCAATTCAGAGGATCCCCAGACAAGTTCTGGTTTCATTTAGTGAAAATGAATGTCTCCAGCTTTTGACCAAAGGATTTTACTCTCTTATTTCTGTTTTTTTGTTTTTGTTTTCTTTCCTACATAGCTAGGCAATAACCCACTGCATAAGATGTGCTAGACTTCATCTGCTCTTAATCAGGATACCTCCCTGGGTAGCAATTAAGCAGTGATGGCTGCCACTTAATGGGAATGGTAATTTTCACTTAATTGGGGTGTTTCCTAGTGCCTTAAAGTTGCGTGGGTCTCTGTGCATTGTCTGTCTGGGGCTTTAAATGTCTCTTTAGCACGGAGACACAAGCAGTGCTTCCCCATC